AGCGTTCTACAATGGTACCGTTGCAAGAAGGAGTCAGCCGCAGAACTGGCTCAGGAGTACCACACAAGGGGATTGGAGAGAGTTCATTTTGTGTCATCTTTGAGAAAAGGAATCGAATTAGAAACAGGAATTCAGATAAGATACTTGTACATTTATAGTCTAGGTGGCCTGAAAATGTCAGAACCTCTAGCTTCATCTCTTTATATATTTTATAAACATAGAGAATGTATATTGTGTCTTGTACATACATAATATATACATGTATATCTCATTTATATTTTTATTTGGTCAACAAATGAGGAAAAACTTGGATGCCCAGTTTGCTAGGGTATGCAGAAGCTCCCTATGGGGAGATGTTTAAATCTAGATGACTCTAGCCTTAAACCCAGTGCAACCCACCAAACTCCCCAGAGGGACTGTGGGATCACAGCCTCCATATAACAGCTTCTTAGCCCAGTCTATAGATAGTTGAGAGTGCGGAGAGACTAGGAATGCAAGACTCACCATCTTCTGAGTATGCTTACACAGTTAATGTGCCTTCTTGTTCCTGAAATCCTGGAGTCATGTGAGTTTGAGCTACTGGTATTCTCTAGAAAAAGCGTATAGTAGCCTTTAAAAGAAATCTGTTTGCGATAACTGGGGTGGGAAGGCCACTTTACAGTTAGGAGGATGAGAGAGACCAGGAAAGTGAAATTCACAGAAAAACATCTCTGAGTAATCTGGTTTGAAGTTTTAGTTATCAGGTTCCCCAACACAACAGTTGTACTTAACATTAGGTTGAGTGGTTGAAAAGAGGAGTGGGGCTGAACTGGAGCGGACTCTGCCTATTTGGAGAACTGGAAACAGTGGGCTCAAACATAAGAACAACTGTGAGGTTGGCACAGGATTGGCTGGTGTTTTGTTCTCTTGTAAATAGAGTCTCCTTAGCAAAGGAAAAAGCAAGTGATATGTCAACCACACCAGGTAAATGAGAGGAACTGTAAGTAAATGCTGAGACATTTATTTTGATCTTCCTGAAATTACTACAAAACAAATATTCATCAACCATGTAAGATAAATTATTGTGCGCAGTAAAATAGGTAAACACTGCAGAGATCAGTAGTGAGAAGTCAAGCAAAAGGAATCAGCAAAAATGTTATGAGTGTCTTGATCTTTTTGCGGTCTGTTGTTGCTGGGTACCATCAAGTGGGTTCCAATTTATAGGGACCCTACATACAAGAGAACAAAACACCGCCCAATCCTGTGCCATCCTCACAATTGTGCTTACGCTTGAGCCCACTGTTTCCAGTTCTCCAAATAGGCAGAGTCCGCTCCAGTTCAGCTCTCGTTTGTGTTGAGACGGCGGTCTGCGTTTGGTGCGTGGTCAGGAAACAGTGTTCCCTAGTCCGTCCTTCTCCTGACTGTGACGCGGTCACTTTCACCTTTCTGAGGGCATTGGTTTTAACACCACAAATAAAACTAGAGATGGCATCAAAGGAGCATGTTCAAATAGAGGGAAGTGAAAATAGGTGCAACTATTTCTCAAGCAGTTATGTTTCTTTAAGAAATGGTGTGAAATGGCAGTCTCATTTCAACAGCTGGATGGAATGGGAATGAGATTGCATGAGAGGATACGAGTGGATGGCTCTGGGAAGGGAACTGATATATGTACAAGTTAGGTTGCTCAGGGAGGAATGGTTACAGAAACTGAAAGTAATTTTCATTTTAAAATTAGCAACTAATCTAGTCACGTAATATGTGGCCAGCTATATGCACTGTTCAGCTCCCAAATGGGTTAAAAAGTCAGAAAACTTAGAGACTTAAGGAGCAAGGTGTAACCTCCAAGAGAATCAAGTTAAACCTCCTGGCTATGGGAGAGTGAATTTATGAGAAGATGAAAAGTAAGTGTAGGCAGGTCTGGCAAAAATGTAAAATGATTGGTGGGAGTCATGGGGAACTTGAAGTGCTTTGGTAAGTGAGAGTTTCCTTTTCTGCTTTTTCAGTCTGACTCCAGCTTCAATGTCTGTGTTCTGCCACTTAGCTTTAAAATCTGAAGGATAAGAGAGGCCATGAAAGGGAATTTCACAGAATAAATCTCTGTGAAATTTGAAGATTACTGAATTAACCAGATGAATTCAGTGAGCAAACACAGGTCATAAAAACCGACGGCATATGCAGCTAGTTCGGTGGATAGCAAACAAGGAAGCCATTTTCAGATCTCCATATGATTTGTCATGTGGCCTTGGAGACAGAAAAATTATCTGGAAACTTTATTTTGTCAGGAAGTTATTCCTACAGTGGAACAATTACATTGAATGGAGACAAGGTATCATCGTATAGATGTTTAAACAAATACTACATTCTACCTGGTTAAGCAAATTGTAGTGACAATTTTATATGAGACATTAAATGATTTTCTAGTCAAATGATGCTAATGATAGCAGTAAATGACACCCAGGAGTATCTCCCATGGGCACAAACTATATTAGGGACGTTTAAAATCCTCAGAACTAGAAAAATACTATTATTTTCATTATACAGATCAGGAAACTTTAGAATTCTCGAAGAAAGTGAATCAAGGTAACATTTCCGCCAATAAATAATTAGAAAGATTATTTTTTCTCCAAATGTTTGGTTCAATAACAATACTTGTTGTACCCTCATAACTTGATGTTCTATAATCTCCAGAACTTTCTGTCTCTAAAATGTTCTACTTATCAAAGAATATGTAAAGGTAAACATAAATTTTAGAATATTTTGCTTATGTATATTTGGCAGAGTGATAAGAGAGTTCAAATCACATCAATAATTTTCGTGACTAAATTATTTAAGTCTTATTAGCCAAATTCCATTTTTTTTTATCTTGAAGCAATTATTCTTCAAAAATCAAAACTTTCTTAAATCATCAAGTTGATTTAGACTCAAAACGACCCTATAGAACAGGGTAGAACTGCCCTTCGGGGTGTCCAAGACTGTAACTTTTCAGGGGAGTAAAGAGGCTCATCTTTCTCTCACAGAACAGCTGGTGGCTTTGAATTGCTGACCTCTGGTTAACAGCCCGTCGGCTCAATAGAGAAGATAGCATGTTGTGTCAATTGAATGGAACCTGAGACGGGTGTTGTCTCTTTGTGCATAAACAAACAGTGCAGTAGGTCTAAACAACCCTTCCTATCCACTCCCAGGTACTAGCCACATTGATCATTTTCTTCTCTAGAGATCATGTAGTTATTGGCCCTAGTCTGTGATGAGTCACTGCTATTGAGTCAATTTGGCTCGTTGTACCACTATAGGATGGAGCGGAACTGCCTCTGTGGGTTTCCAAGACTGTAACTCTTCACAGGAGTAGAAGGTCTCGCCTTTTCCCCACTATGTGATTAGAATCACCCTTATAACCAAGCTCATCTCCCGCCTTTTGTCCCCATGTCTGTGAGAACAACAAAAATGGATTTTGATAACAAACATATTTAGAATATCTAGTATTATTTATTCTCGTAAGGTCAGATACATAGGACACAAGGAACTTCTGTGTGGTCCAAAAGTGAAGGCATTTGTGCTCTGCGTTTCCCCCTCGTGACTGCAGACAGTCTCTGGCCCACTAAGGAGAGTTGCTCTCTGCTCTCCCATGGTACATATGTATATAGAGTGAGGGAGGGTTGTGACAAGGAGTTGATTCCCCTTTGATAATTACTTTTTATTACTCCCATTTCCTGGAATCAGGGTCCTTTTGTACTGCACAGTAATCACCCCAACTATGAAAACTGTCTGCCGTGATGTCTTAGCTTTTATCCTATGCCATCATGCTTCACATGCATGGCCTGATTCCTGTTACCTTAAGTACTCTTTGTTGTTTGTGTCCCCTTAGAGAATGGAGATATGGGGGGAGGCTGAATGAAAGGGCAAAAATGAAAGATATCTCCACAAATAATCCACAACTGCTCAGGATTGATTAGAGGTAGACCTATAAAATCATTTCTTGATGTTACAGAGCCTAGACTGGAGAAGGGTTTGACTACCTCCTTTCTTTGAAAGCACAAGAAAGACAAAGTGAATGAATAACTGACCTAGGAGTGGGCTGGGAAAGGATGAGGTCGTTTCCATAACAGAATAACATTCAGAAACAGGGGACTCTCATATTTTAGGAAAAGGTAATCAGATGTGTGAAGTGAAACACATTTCATGTACTTTGGAATGAAGACTGAGCAAGGATATGTGAAAATACCCATTGATTAGTAAAAGGGGTAGAAACTCTCAGGGTAGTATTTAGGTCAGGAATGACTACCAAGCACTTAGCCCTGAAGCAGAGCTCATTCTAAGAAGAAAGTTAAGATTAACAATTTCATCTGGGGAATTGTGTTGGAGGTTTATGTTCTGGGGTGATGATCCCATTTCATCTTTTCCCTTTGATCATCTTCCATACAAGTGTGTGTGTACATTAAGGTATATTCCTGGAAAAATAAAATGGATGAAGCTGATCCCTAGGACAATAGGTCTTAACCAGGAAGTATTTCTAGCTTATTTGAATGAATATTTGCGTACTTCCTCACTTTATTTTATTCAACATGCAATATGTATCAGATACTACTAAAAAGTTTTTACAAATAGGAGCATCAACTAATTGGACTCTCTTAATAATATAGGGCATTGTGGTCGAGTGCTATTGAGTTGCTTCTGACCTCTGGTGATCTATACGATAATGTAAAACCAACTCAGGGAACTTTCTTGGTTGCAATTTGTATGGAAACAAATGGCCAGGCCTTTCTTCCATAGAGCCATTGGGTGGGTTAGAATTTCCAGCCTTTTAGGCAGCAAGCAGCCTAGCGATTAATCACTCATGATATCAGATATTCCTTATACAAGGGAATATATACCATTGCTATTTCCATTCTGTAGATGATGGCATTGGCCTAATATTATATAACCAGTATGTGTTTCTTCACTCTCACTCATCTCTCTCTTCTGTGTCTCTCTAGGTAATATGATATTGGACTGGCGTTTCTGACCAGAGAAGAGGTCCTGTGACCATGGATTCCCATAATCACACTAGCCTGGACTCTTCTGTCTTCTTTCTCCTGGGCATCCCAGGTTTGGAAGAGTTCCACCTGTGGCTCTCACTCCCTGTGTGTTGCCTGAGCACAGCTACAATTGTGGGCAACATAACCATCCTGGTCATTGTTGCCACTGAACCAGCCCTGCACAAGCCTGTATACTTTTTCCTGTGTATGCTCTCTACCATTGACTTGGCGGCCTCCTTCTCCACCGTTCCCAAGCTGCTTGCCATCCTCTGGTGTGGAGCAGGGCATATCTCTGCCTCTGCCTGCTTGGCACAAATGTTCTTCATTCATGCATTCTGCATGATGGAGTCCACTGTGCTGCTGGCCATGGCCTTTGATCGCTATGTAGCCATCTGCCACCCACTTCGCTATGCTACTATTCTCACAGACACCATCATTGCGCGCATAGGGGTGGTAGCCTTGATGCGGGGCTCCCTGCTCATGCTCCCATGCCCTTTTCTCATTGGGCGCTTGAGCTTCTGCCAAAGCCATGTGATACCACACACATATTGTGAGCACATGGCTGTGGTGAAGCTGGCCTGTGGAGACACCAGACCGAACCGTGTGTATGGGCTGACTGCAGCGCTGCTGGTAATTGGGGTGGACTTATTCTGCATTGGTCTCTCCTATGCCTTCATTGCAAGGGCTGTTCTTCACCTTTCATCCCATGAAGCTCGATCCAAGGCCCTTGGGACCTGTGGTTCCCACGTATGTGTCATCCTTATCTCTTACACACCAGCTCTCTTCTCCTTTTTCACCCACCGCTTTGGCCACCACGTTCCGCTTCATATTCACATTCTTTTAGCCAATGTCTATCTGCTCTTTCCACCTGCTCTTAACCCTGTAGTATATGGCGTTAAGACCAAGGAAATTCGGGAAAGGGTTGTCAGGGTGTTTCGGAGGGACCAGGGACCTGGAGTCAAGATATCTGAATAATCCGGAGCTATAGAAGGAGCTTAGCCAAAAGCCTTTCAAGGTTAGAAATTCCTCAGTATTTCAGACTGGAAAGAGGTCTTAATAAAGACATGATGTCCTCAACAGAACTTTCTAGGACATTTCCAAGAATGAGGTCATGGAGATTCAGTATTCTTCCTTTGCAATCAAGCGATGTAAACATGGGAAGATTCTTTTAACCTAGCTAGTTTTCAGGCATTGAAAACTACCAACTATACCTTATGGAGTTTAATTCCAGCTACCAGGTTAGAAGAGCCTCTGTATAGCCACAGGGACCATTCTCATCTCCTGTGTTCTCCCAATGCTCCAGGCATAGAGTTTATTTGACTTTCTGCAAGTGTCAGAAGATAGGATCAAAATGCACAGTTAAAGAAATTAGAGCTATAAGAAACTTTTATAATTTTGCACAGGGACTATATATGTATGTATGTGTACATACATACATATATATATGAACTAGAGGAGCTTGAAAACAAGAAGAGGTAAGGAACATATCAATATTCATAACATTATCTACAAATTATCCACAGTGAGTTGAAACCTTCAAATTTAAGTACAGAAGAATTTGATTTTCTTGAATAAAGGCACAGCATTGGTAAGGAATAGCTCTTCATTTTCAAATTTGGGCGACTCATTCTAAAGCTAAATTTAAGTTCTAAATCTCTGAAGAGCCAACCTAGGTCCCAATGTTGTTAGCAGTGCCATTCCTATCCCTACCAGAGACAAGATGAGCAATTCTCCAAATTCGCTGGAGGGAGCCTTCCAGAAATAATTGGCGCCTCTGTGGTGACCCTATAAAGCAGTGGTTCTCAACCTTCCTAATGTTATGACCCTTTAATAAAGTTCCTCATGTTGTGGTGACCCACCCCAACCATAAAATTATTTTCATTGCTACTTCATAACAGTACTTTTGCTACTGTTATGAATCCATCAACCTCTGTGAAAGGGTCATTAGACCACCAAAGGGGTCGTGACCCACAGGTTGAGAACCACTGCTATGGAGGATAGTGTTTACCTAAACAAATCATAATGGAAACATCTTATAAATTAATTTACCTATCCATTCATTCTGTTGTAAGAGAAAGAGGGCCCAGTTGTTCTTAATCCCTCAGTCCAATTTAACCCTATGTGGAAGAAGTTCTTAAATGTATTGGTGAAATGGATTACTGCACATAATGAGTTTTGTGTTCTATCACAAAAATAGTTTCAGACAATTGTATAATTGTATCGATAAATATACTAATAAATGAGCACCTTAAAATATGACTTCTATACATTGTGGGCTTGTCAGTATCTCAGTATGCTATCCCATTCTAATAGATGCAGATGGCACGCCGCCCCCCCCTCCTCTCACTGGAAATTCACATACCCTTTCTCACTGGAAGAGCTTCAATCCTGAGAACAAGACCAAGATTCTACGTCTAAAGCTCCCAGATACAGGAACATAAATATTGCTATTAAGATAATTCACATAGATGAGGGTATCCATTTCAAAAATAATTATAATTCAATAAATTATGCTGAACACTCTCTATTCTTATTTTTGTATTTTATTTTATTCTTTTTATCATTTTATTGGGGCTCTTAAAGTTCTAATAACTATCCATACACCAATTGTTTTTTTGGTTTTTTTTGAATTTTTTCTTCTTTTTTTTTTTTTTTAACATTTT